AGTCGTCGGTAAAAAAATCAAGTTGATCATCCTAAAGGGGAAGCCAGGAGATCCATAGCACAGGGTATCCTAGTTTGGACTCGTCTCCCATGCTCTTTGTTTTGTGGAAAAAATATGTTTGAAAAAGATAAACTGCAATGTACTATTTGTGGGAAAAAATAATAACGGTCATTATTATTATTATCGGTAATGTGGACTAACAGTGCTGCTATAAAAGAGTTAATAACCCGCTAGTCGCTAAAATATTGAAATGTGTGCTAAATACACCAAAAAGCGCTGGATTAAGCGCAAGGTGCTAAAATTTCGAAATGCGCGCTATACATTCCAAAAAAGTGCTAAATCTAGTTCCCAAAGCGCTAAAATGGCAGTTCTGATTTTGCGTATATTATAAATACAATATCACGACATTTCGTTGCGAAATTTTTATTTTTGGTCGGGTTCCGTTGTATGGCTTCGATGGATACAAATTTCTTCAGTAAGTCTCAATACGATTCATCGGCGAAAAATCTTAACACAGCAATTCAGAAAAGTTTGTAATTTGTACAACTCCATCTATTACGTCCTTTGTGTGAGAAAACATCCTATCTCTTTTTTTGTTTTAAGTATAAATATATTAATTATTATGGAACGTTTTTTTTTACACAGAAATCTTTTTATTACTATTTCTGAGATTTTATGGCGCCATTGAACAAATTCGTTTCCTACATTTCAAAATAATAATCATTACTTTCGATAGAATTAACCAATTTTAATAAAACAAAGATTAAATGTAATTCGAAGATACGCTTTATGATATTCTTAACGATTTCTTTGAAAATAAAAGATGTTTACTTTAGACGTGATGCGTTCATATAATAACAGACAAATAGACAGACAATTCTAAAAATTATAAAATGTTCTTATTTAATTATTTTCAGTTCATCATAATGATTTTAGCCACCAAAATATATATATACAATGTACAGAAAGAGACACAACATGTTATCATCATTTTTATTATATGTATATATGTAAAGAGAGATGGCGCTGCTAACATCATCAATTCTAAAAATAAAAGAGATTAATTGACGCGATTGATACATTATATAAAACGTAAGAGAACTTATAAATCAGTGCCTGCACAGTAAGCAAAAAGTAAAGTTTGACTCTCGCCAAAACCAATGCAATTGTTAATAGCTCTTTTAAAATTTGATTTACCACATAGAGTACTCGGCGGTAAAGAGTAAATTGAGTTTGTCAACACGAAGTAGGGCAGCGAGTAATATAATAAAGATTAGCAGTAAATATGAAAACTCATCTACAGGAAGAAACCACATTTACAATTGCATTACATTTTCACAACACCACCATCTATCGAAGAAATGGGTTAACTATTGTGCTTCAGATTTAGTTAATAACGTTAATATATTTTTGTATAATATATTTAATACGTTCTTTATTAGTTTTGTTTACTGCGTTTTAGATATACATAATTATATCATTATTTTACATAATTTAACTATGATTTATGATATGATATTAGTTTAAAATGCACTTGATGACTCAAACAAAGCCACCGTTGAGCAAATTCGTACCTATACTTCCCTACCCATACTTCAGAATATTTATCATAACTTTTGATGGAATGAACTGATTTTAATGAAATAAAGACTAAATGTAACCCGAAGGTACACTTTAGAATTTCCTTAACAATTCTTATGATATAAATTAGTACTTTAAACGTGATACGTTAACAAACAAACAGACAGACAGACAGACAGACAGAAAATTCTAAAAATGGTAGAAATGTATTTAATTACTTATTTTTAGTACCCCTCAATCACTTTTATTACAAAAATATAAAATGTACAGACATCTGCTATTTACAGTTTTATTATATGTATAGATAAACTTATTATATTATTGATCAACAAATACAAATAAATGATTTACTAGTGTCTATTAAAATGAAGCGTCATTTAAAAAAATATTTCTTTGATGGCAAGATAAGAAAAAGTGCAAGGGAAATTTATATTATTCCATCTCGCTCGTACTGTAGAAAGGGGGTCGTGACGGAAAAATCTTACACTTTTTTGCCACCATCTTCCGAATTCGTACCGCGCGATAAGAAACTTCGTCCCAAAAACCATTCGGTTGCTAGCAGATGAGATTGGCACTTGAGAAAACTCTGGTATATAATACACGCCCTCGAAAAGGTTTCCTCATAAATTGCCTTATATGAGGAATATTTGTCGTAGTTGTCACGTTAGGCTAGATTGGCACCCCCACTTTTTTATTTTTTTATTGTTATTAGGAAGACGTTGCTGTCCATCTAATGGCTTGTTTCCCTCTGTCAGCTCTTAGGACGATATGGGTAGTGAACACACGGTCCACCTCTTAGCTTATAAACAAATAACACTCAGATATTTTATATTTTATTGTTATAATTTTGTACAAATAACGGCGTATAATACATCGGACAGGTTTCACATACAAAACTAATGCTAGATCAAGCTATTCGTAGATCTACGTTATATTAAAGACAAACTCATCCTAAAACTCCGTCATGAAATGAAAGTATTCAGTAATCAATGGCTAGAAATATACATAATACAGATAAAATATGGTATTTTGTTCCTGCAATCTGTATTAATTTTTTAATTAAATATTTATTTATTTTGTCTGTACGCAACCTATATTTCATGACCACTGACCACTGATAAAATCATAGGTTATAAAGAATAAAAAGTGTATACTTACTATAAACCTTCTAATTAAATAAAATCTTAAACATCTAAATGCAAATCATCGCTTTTACATTTACCATCAATAATTAAGTCACATTTATATCAAATAAATATAGATAAATTAACAGAAATAAAGGCAGTCAATAATTTTGAGGTATAGGTTTCTTTAAAACTATTCTGGGAAAATGTTCTTTTTTTAAAAACAAATGCGTTGGGAACAACCGGATTTAAAGTGTAGATAATTAAAAATATTTCGAAAAACAATAAAGATATGTTTTTATAATATTACACAATAAAAAATTTAAAACCCTGTGAAATATTTAATTGACAAAAATTATTGGTGTAAATGAAATCCCAGTGACAAGGGTTCATAAGTTTGGGACTTATAACTAGATTTTTTGTAAAATTTGCCTAAGCTTCGTGTGAAAGTAATTATGATGGTTGTCCAAATGAAAAAAATGTGAATGTTATATATTGACAAAATTGCTATAATAAGTTTTGTTAATTCTACTTTTGCGTCATTACTGACAGAATAACACAAGGTATTTATCAATAAAGTAAAGCGACTAAAGCAAATTTATATGAGAAAACATGCATAGATTCATTCACGGCCTGACAAAACATAGATTTATTCACGGCCGCCAGGAGATTTGTTCGTATTTTCATATAACTTTAGTCGATAATGATACGAAAACGTCAAAACGTGTCAAAAACTTAAGAATCAAAATTAATAGACAATTATTTTAACAAATTACAGGGGCAGCAAAGCATTTGTGTTCAAAACCGCTTAAAAACAAAAAAAATTAAGCTGATGTCTTGTTCAATTTTTAATTAACCGTTACGTGGCATAAAGGACTGTAGCTATAGAGGAAAGTACAAAAAATAAATTTTTTGGAGCGATTTTTACATTTTGGACAGCCAATTTTGCAATCAATTAGGATGAGAAATGATATATTTTGCAACATTGATCGTAGATACTGTATATAAGACTTTTTATACGACTTGTTCATACACATCTTTGATTGGTAGTTTTAAATGGACAACATTTTAAATAATTTATTGTTACTTAAGACGTATTATTTGAAATGTATTTCTCCAGTAAATCAGTAGAATTGAGGAATTGTGAAACTTTCATTTCTTTTAAAGTATTTTGTTATGCTACTGGATAGAATTTTTACACAAATCATTAGATACAAAATTCTATTATAACTAGAGCGGTGCCTTAATTCTTTGGAACAAACTTTTTTCGAAGCAAAGCAAGTGGTTAGCATAAAATAAATGACAATGTTTAAGGTTGCCAGGTTGTTCGTTATTATTCAAACAATATTTTGACTTTGAATCCATAACATACATACATCTAAATATTGCTTTCAAAATGGCGCAATTTCTTTCAGCAGCTCTTCTGCGAACAGAAAGATCTCATTGTAGTTAAAAATACCTATTATAAACAAAAGTTTAAATTTCCTATTACAAAGAATATTATTTTTTACAAACATACCTGGCAACCTGTTGACCACTTCATATAAAAGCTCAATTAATACGTATGGCAATAATATTGTATTAGTATCTAAATATACAAACTCTAAACCACGTCCATATGATTTTTTTTCCATATACAAACGCTAGGTATACTCATTAATTAATTTATAAACACTCTTGTAACAAATTGCATCTATTCAATTAACTAATCATGTTGGATGAATTGAAAAACGCGTGCAAACCACTCATACAACTATAATTTTATTTAATTTAACATTACAAATAGTAATTTTCATATTTACTAGATAGTAAAGCACTTTGAAAAGTTGATTCCATTTTCATGGAGAAAGAAATGAGAAATAAATGAATTTATAAAAATATAGAAAAAGTTTGTTAACTAAATTATTTCCAATGTATTAATATGTAAATAAATTATAAAAATGATAGTTTTAAGTACATATACTCTAAATTGACTAGGTAATGATAATTCAATATAACTTCTTATTTTACGATACGGAATTCAGTTCATTTAATGGAAATTACGAAACTTAAATTGTAGTATTATTGCTTTTGATGTTATTATATGCATTGATATGTAATTACGGAGTTATAAAATAACTCTTCGAATTAAAATCATAACAAAATAAATGAAATTTAACAAACAATATTCGTACAAATAGTTTATCAGTTCATGTAGCGATATAAGAAAGTAAATGAACTGGATACTTGCTTGTAAAAAAAGAATTTATGATTCATTTGAATGAACCAATTCGACTTATAAAAATCGAATTTGAATTATGGAGTGCATCTTCCAACGTTGTTGGTGATTGTATGTGGAAGCTTCGATAGGGAAAGTGGTATATCAAAATCACCACTAAGAGATATTTGGGATACGCATCCTATTAAACCGGTTTTGTATTTTCCCATGGTGTTCATTTCTATTGATGGCAATCCTCCTGGAATGTAAAAAACAATAATATTAATATATATAATTATTAATATTCCCAGCTCTGTTATAATTATGTGAGTCAACAATATGCCTTTTTAGGAGTTCCAGAATCAAGAATCAAAGAAGTATTCAATATACACAGATTTAATTTGATATGAAAACAATCAATTATTTGCAGTACCAGACTTCTTGCACTTTTGACACTTCTGCCTGTCGCTGGTCTGACGTAATCAAACCAACGCCTGGCTTTACAATACATACGTTATACCACTTTCTATTGGAAACCATAAAACTTTTTTGGCGTTTCCTATAGTCGACTCTAACGACACCAATGTAATGGGACAAAATAGGGTGAGATATTATGTTATGCCATTACAACATAGCCGCAATTATTCCTATCAATAAAGTCAAATTTTTGATTGATATGGGTACGTTCTAATCCAAATATCTCAATCCAAAATCCGAATTCTCAGAAGAATGTAAATCATTCAAGTCAATATTGTAGCAGGGAGGAGGAACCAGGGCCCTGGGTTCCAAATGTTAGGGGCGGCATTTTTGGAAAGAAGTTAGTTAACCCCGTGCCTTGACTTTTATCTAGATAATGTTTCTAATTAAATCTTTTGATTTAAATTAACATATTTAGTTAGAAACACAGTATCGAGACATATATAATATAGTAGAGATCCTATATACATGCTCACTTGCCAAGTGAAGGGATAAATAAAAATATATTACATTGTTTATTCAGTAAGACTCTAGAAGACTTTTAACGATTTTATATTTTAACATGCTTATTAATTGAATTAAATGAACCATGGGTTTACGGATCGAACTTTATGAATCAGTTTATTTTTTGTTAATTGTAAATGAAAATTTTAAATGTAAATATGGTTTAAACTATATTATTCTCTTACCTATGTAGAGACCATTTTCTGTGTTAAGTTGTTTCAGTTTCCCCGGTGATATTTTGCCGATGGAGCCTAACCCATCCACTTCAAGAACGCCAGCTTGTCGATTTCTTTTCATAGAATAAAAGAAAAAAGAATTAAATTGTACAGTCTTTTTGATTTAATTTCATTTAGAAATAAACATAGCATTAAACAAAAAATCTTTTTTGAAGCTTGTTTGATTAATTGCTTTAATTTGAATCGAAAGGGAATACCTGACTTTCATAGCCATTTTAGGTCCATCAAATTTTGCTGGCGTTAGCAAAATCTATTAGAGGTCTTTATTAGTTTCTTAATTGTGTTCAAAGTGAATTTGTATTTCTTCTTTTTCGTTAGCCTTTGAAAGTCCATATGGGCCCCTCCCATATTTGAGCCATGAGGATTTGCCTTAATCGTCACGTTTAGCAAGATGATTAACGACATCGTTGACAATGCCGACAGACATGAACACTTTTTTTTGTTTTTAAAAAACGTTACCCCACACTAGGATTTTTTCCTGTATCGTGGAGGCAGTTTACAAACAAAAATTGCACAAGCACAAACATCCAGACCCGGAACAATTATTTAAAGGCCATACAGATACTTGGTCCGTGCGTGATTGCTAAGCCACTGCGCCACGGAGACTTTGAAAGCTATTCCTCGGAAAAATCGAGCAGTCTTCAATTTATGTAATAATTAGCTGTTCCCCGCGACTTCGCCCGCGTGGAATTTGTTAAGATTGGATATTATGGGTTTTTCCTACCCTAATTATTTTTCTCCAAGGTATTCCTTATAATATCTGCTATTTGCCAATGAAAGTCCCGTTAAAATCGGTCCAGCCGTTTCGGAGATTACCCGTAATACAAACATACAGATAGAACGACAAAAATTTAAAAAATTTTTTGTTATAATTACCATATATATTTATATACATTTAGTAAAAAGCTGTTATTTTGATATTACAAACAGACACTTCAATTTTATTTATTTGTATAGATGTTTAGATTTCATATACCTAGAATATAATGTAAATTTACTGCTTATATGCATCCCACTGCTGGGCACAGGCCTTCTCTCATTTAATTTTGGATACTACACCCCTTTTTTGGCGTAAACGAGATGCAAAAAATTAGGTAGTTTTAAATTTACTAATAATGTCATGTTACTGTTACGAGCTTGGGGTTCGAGCACAATTAAAAACTGCCGATTGAATTACCAAAATTGACACTTTAATTACACCACACTAATTAAAATCTAAAATCACACTAATAATAAAACACAGTTCGCCGTTATTTCGCTTCGAAGTGTTCTCTTGTATCGCCAATTCAATACTGCTCGGTCGTGGTCTATACCGGCCTTATATAGGGCCTCAGATAGTTTCCAGAATCTTCTACTGTAGCGACATCTAGAATGTTCGAGTACATATCGGTCCCGAAATTTCTGGAAGGATCTTGACTCTCCTAGTTCTGCTACTCGACACTAGAGGGCGCTAGTGTAACTAGTGTTGCCATGTACAAGATATTAATAGTGGCGTGCAACACTGCCCCCTCCTAAGACATGCTCGTCCCGAACATTATTGGCCCCATAATAACGCACCAGTCGATCCACATGGTCGATCTTAGGAGTACCTCTGGCACCTTTCTGTATCCGGTAGGTTACGTCATTGATCCTTGTCACAATCCGGTACGGTCCGTCCCATTTAGCTTGAAGCTTAGGAGATTTCCCTTTGCTGCGAGCTGGATTGTGTAACCACACTAGTGAACCTTCGTCAAACCATTTGTTGTTCATTTTGCGGTCATACCGTGTTTTCATCTTCTCAAACGTTTGCTGGCCCGACTGTCTGACGTGCTCATAAATGTCATTCATTTTGTTCCGCAAGTCATTTGCATAATCGGTTATACTGCGTGGGGCATCAGGTGGTATTCCGGTGATCAGGTCTGCAGGCAGCCGTAATTCTCTCCCAAAGATTGCGACAGCTGGTGTCACTGATGTACTTTCGTGAACAGCGCTTCGATATGACAACAAAAACGGTTGTATGTGCCTGTCCCAGTCTCGTTGCCGTTTTTCCACAACTTTTGCTAGGTACCTCTCCAATGTCTGATTAAATCTTTCTACCATTCCATCAGATTGTGGGTGGTAAGAAGTTGTTCGTGTTTTCTGAGTACCCATAACTCGGCAAGTTTTCTGGAATATTTGAGACTCAAAATTCCTTCCTTGATCGCTGTGTATCTCTAAAGGTACTCCAAAACGACAGAAGACTTCATGAACTAGTTTATCTGCAACTGTTGAAGCTTCTTGATTTGGAATGGCGAAGATTTCTGGCCACTTAGTGAAGTAATCCATCACAACCATGAAATACTTGTTACCACTTTCAGTTTCTGGAAACGGCCCCGCAACGTCAATAGCTATCCTGTCCCATGGTGCACCAACATTGTACAATTTCAATGCGCCTCTACTAAGAATTTGAGGTCCCTTTACAGCCGCACAACTTGTACATTTGCGGCACCAGTCCTCGACATCGTCACGACAGTGGACCCAGTAAAACCGTTCTCGGATCTTCAGGAGAGTTCGTTTAACTCCCAGGTGGCCTCCTGAAGAACTACTATGGTACAGCTGTAGAACATCCGGTACTTTAGCCTTAGGGACAACCATTTGCAAATGACATCTGTCTCCCCGACCATTTTCCCATTTACGGCACAGGACTACATCATGAATCAGCAAGCTGTGCCATTGGGCCCAATAGCTTTTCGTGGTCGAACTCATTGCTGAGATGTCGCTCCACTTGGGCTTAGGAGCACTGGCCTTCATCCATTCCAGAATCGGCTTAATGTCCGAATCTTCCTGCTGTGCATGTTGTAGGCTGTCCTTCCACTCATTGCTGAGTTGGTCTGTCCTGAGTATCCTCACAGATACCACTTCCTTACCCTCTTGCCTAGTACAACGCTTGCAATCTTCAGGACAAAGTCTTCTTGACAATATATCTGCGTTGCTATGAGATTTCCCGCTGCGCTGGGCGGTGCTGTTAACCGCACTACCTTCTCGAAATCGATCACCATCCCTTTCTACAGTTCGCTTAAGGCAGCTGGATCGAAGATGGCCCCTTTGCCCACAGCCGTAGCACCTAGGGCGGTAGCCGTTATTGCGGTCCCGAACTGTAACTGCTGCAACCTCCCTGATGCGGTAGGAACGATGATCCTGTCTCACGGCTTCCACCTCCAGTGCATGGGTCAAGGCGTCCTTAAGCGTCTCGTGGTGCCCGAGCCTCACAGCAGCTCTGACTTCAAGGTCGCGGATGCCGTCGATGAATGTATGCACCAGGTTCCCTACAATAAGCGTAGGTACAGACTGGTACGCTTTTCGAACCAGCTTCTCCACCTCAAGGGCCCACTGCTGCAGGTTTTCGTTACTGCGTTGCACGCGATCTTTGAGCTGCGCACGAAAGACGTGTTCCAGGTGAGCGTCGCCATATCTCGCCTCCAATGTCTCAAGGAGCTGCTCGTAAGTCACTTCCTTACCGAGAGCTTCCAGAACAGTCAAGGCCTGGTCCCGTAGACCTAGGGTGAGAGCAGTCATGGCCTGACTTTTATTCCAGCCCTTCCCTTTCATGACAGCCTCGAACTGGATTTTGTAGGCCGACCAGGAAGAAGTCCCGTCGAACGGTGGCACTTTGAATCCACGTAGCGAAGGTGTTGTAGCTACCACGGGAGCTGTAACTCCATCCCCAATTTTGAGGTCGTTCAGCGTTTTCTTCACGTCAACCATCACGTTGTCAACCCGATTGTTCACTTGGTCGATTCGGGTTTCAGCTTCCGACAGGCGGTTGTCATGTTGAGCAACCCTATCCTTCACCTCCCTTATCTCTTTCCCGAAGGTAGCGTGAAGGTCCTTCATGAGAAGAAGCTGCTCTTCCAACCGACGGCCCTGTTCCTCCTGTTGGCGGGCCTGTTCCTCCTGTCCGCGCTGCAGCTGCTCTTCCCACCGACGGCCCTGTTCCTCCTGTCGGCGGGCCTGTTCCTCGTGTCGGCGAGCCTGATCCTGCAACATCATCATCAGAGCACCTAAGTCAGGTGCTGCAGATGCAGGAGCTGCTGACGGGCCGGTCTCCGTGGTCAGCATCTGGCCCTCCGATGTTTGCGGCGTTGCATTACCAAATCGTCTCTGGTCCGCCTCCAGCTGGCGTTGACTTCGGGTACGCATACCCTCCATGTCGTCCTTTGGTAAAATCGGCATGATTTGATCCCACTTCTGACACCAATTGTTACGAGCTTGGGGTTCGAGACAATTAAAATCTGCCGATTGAATTACCAAAATTGACACTTTAATTACACAACACTAATTACAATCTAAATTCACACTAATAATAAAACACAGTTCGCCGTTATTTCGCTTCGAAGTATTCTCTTGTATCGTCAATTCAATACTGCTCGGTCGTGGTCTATACCGGCCTTATATAGGGCCTCAGATAGTTTCCAGAATCTTCTACTGTAGCGACATCTAAAATGTTCGAGTACATATCGGTCCCAAAATATCTGGAAGGATCTTGACTCTCCTAGTTCTGCTACTCGACACTAGAGGGCGCTAGTGTAACTAGTGTTGCCATGTACAAGACATTAATAGTGGCGCGCAACATTACTATAGTGTATAGTTACAGCCTATACACTTGCCTTGTTATTGGGCAAGGAAAGGTCCAGCGCTGATATAGCTCAACTAATCTATAAGCTGAAATAACAATAATGGGCCGTCCATATAGCGCGATTTAACCTGCAGCCGATACGTAAGAAAGGTGTTGAAGTTCTAGCATCGCATTTAAGCGACAGTAGCCTAATAGTTAAAGGGTGCGGATTGCAAACTTTTAAAGGCTTGTGCACCACTACAAAACTACAAATTAAATGTTAACTAACAATATATGAACTGATAAACAAATCAGTTCATATATTGTTATATTGTCATAGCGATATATGAAAACAAATGAACTGAATTATTGCTTGTAAAAAATTACTTTAATATTCATACAACCTATGTGAACTAAAAAATGTAATGTTAACTACTCCTAGTCCTAGCACAATCATTTTTAGCTTACTTAGAGTGTATATGAAAATT